TCAATTATCGGCTTTAATTTTTGGTCTTTCTTCTGTTCTGCTTTAATATCTATATCTGATTTCACTTCACCATCATCAACTCTTTCAGTCACTTTGACTTCAGCTTGATGACACCTGGTTAGTTCAACCTCTCTTTTAACACTTACTGGAATTTAGCCTTTGTTGTTCCCAAACGTCATTTTATCAAAATTAACTACACACTTCCTCAATAGTAAGTAGTCCAACCCTAATATGCATTGGTTTTCAATGTCAGCCAAGTATACTTTGTGTTTATCTTTCATTCCCATGAGCTCAATAGTTACCCACACTGGTCCCAAGAACCTTGCAGAATGTCCTGTCACACCACAGAGCTTCTGTATGACTTCTAGTACTCATTTATGATCCAGCATCTTGATACTCACAAGGGTTTGCTGAGACACAGAATCTATGACAACGTTGCACCTTTGGCCATCCAGCTTTCCTGTCACGTAGACACTATGTATGTTTGGCATTTTACACCTAGCTGTTGGGACTTTCATGATGGGGTTGGTGGGTGTACCTCAACACCAACCACTACTGGTTTCCCCGAGGCTGGTGTATTGGTAATATTCTTCTTACACTGGCTTCTCATATGTCCTTGCTCTCCACAGTTCCAACAACCTTTCTGGGTAGCAGCTTTTCCTGCCGTGGCATCTTCCCTGTGTTGAGCTTTCTTGTGCCCAGGTTTGTTACAGTGCCAGCAAAGTCCCTCAAACCTCTCTGAAAGCTGACCTTTTCTGGCTTTTAATCCTGATGTCTGCATCAACCTTGGTACCTCTGTGCTGGACTTAATGTAGGATTCGAATTCAAGAGCTCTGGCCATTGCATCCTGCATAATAGAGGGGTGTGCTTGCTTTTCTTGTATCTTCATTGTGGACTGTCCAAGACATCTACAAACTGATCCCTCAGCAACAACTTGAGGACATCGGGTGGCACAGTTGGGTAGGCCTTGTGTGCCATACTTTCCATATCTTGTGCCAGCTCTTGCAGGCTCTCCCCTTTAGCACGGACTTTAGGGCTAGACTTAACACTGATTTTGAGTTTCACACCCGAGTTCTAGAGCAGCTACCAGTGCTCTATAGTTGTGCCTATTGTCTGCTGACAACTGTCCAAGTATTTCCAGTGGTTGTCCCTTCAGGCTCGTTGGCAGGTACACTGCTTTCTGCTCCTCTATCCATCCATTAATTTCTGCCAGGAGCTCGAATTGTGTTCTATATGCTTCCCACGGTGCCTTCCCATCGAATTCCTGTGGCTTCCTTCGTACTAGATCACCCCTATTGCTGACATTCATATCTGGGATGTAACTTCTAACAGGACTGAAGATGTCTGCATTAGAGTTTAGCTGCGGGGTCTGGAAGAGGCTTGCCATTGTCTGGGGCTGAGAAGTTGATGGTTAATGTATCCTTCTTGTGTAAAAGACAATAAATTATCCTTTAATGTATTTAATTCGCTTTGAAATTTACTAATGTTTTCCATTTGTACTTCTCGCCACTGTTGTTGACTTTCCTGTAGTTGCTGCTGACTTTCCTGCAACTGTTGAGACTTTCTTCCTGTTTCCTTTCTTGTTCCAGTTGCCACTGCT